CAAATGGATGGATGAACAAGGGGATGGATGAACAAATGGATGGATCCATGCACGCTTTTTCTATCTCACTGGGTAGATCTGGAAATTAGAAATAATAATGATGACAATGATGCCATGAAACAAAATACAATAAAACAAAGGGATTAAATCGGTTCCAGGATATGGCCTCACACCCATCAGGGTTGGGCTCTTAGCTCTACAACCTACAAGCTGTGTGACCCTGGGTATGTTTGCTCCCCTCCCCCCCCCCCCCCGCGCAAATTTATATGTTTGTGTTCCTCCAAAATCCACAACCCCCAATGTGATGGTAGTAGGAGGTGGGGCATCTAGGAGGTGATTAGGTCATGAGAGTGGAGCTCCCAGAAATGGTATTAGTGCCCTTATGGCCATCGGGGACACAATTCAACCCATGACTCTTACGTTGTTGTCATTATTGTTAGAACAACATTGCTATTTGGGGTTCCTCCAGATCACTCACCCCGTGCTTGAGGGTCTTACTCGCAGCTCTGCCCCACGGCCTCCCCCATGCTAGGGCCCAGACCCTATCCACACACACACACACACACAGAGCGTGCTCACAAACATAGAGATATACACACTATGTGCTCACACATACAGAGAGGCACACAGACACACACGTTCAAACACACACACACACATAAGCCCTGCCTCCGATAGAGAAAGAGATTTACGATCTCCAAACCCAACAGGAATTGCCATCTAAAATGTGCAAGGAACTCCTTCCTGGAAATCCAAAACAACAGCAGCAACCCCAACAGAAAAGTGGGTGAATGATATGAATGGGTAATTTACAGGAGGAAGACCCCCAAACCAGGCAGAAGTCACCTGATGATCAAAGACGTGCACATGAGAACTGTGGCAAAGACTGGAAGGCTGGGAGGGAGACCCCTGGGGGTTGGCGGGGGAGGGTGCCATGCCTTGGGTGCCCACGAACACCTGTGCACCTCACAACCCCGCAAGGAACCACACTCTGAGATGCTCCTGTGCAGTGTTTTCGAGGGCATGTCTTAGCTTCCGTTCTCCAGAAGCAAATCTCAAATGAGGATTCCTGCAGAAGTGATTTATTAAGGAAGTGTTCCAGGAAAGCCTGGTCAGGGAGTGGAGAAGTAGGATTGGGCAGGGGAGGAGGCCGGCCAAGGGTGTAGCACCAGGCAAGGTCCCACGGAAGATGGCCTTGGCTCCGCTGGGGCTCAGGGAACAATGGAGGTCACATTCCGGGGGGCTGAGTGTTTACGTCCTCCACCCTGTCCTGGGTGTGCATTCCCAGGCCCTCCCAGTCTCCGAGGTCAGTCCTCCGACAGAGAGAGGCAGGTGCTGGCCATCAGGAGCCAGAGCCCCGGGGAGACTGTGCACAAAAACAGTCAAGGATCCGGGGGACGTGGGCAGCCCGTAGATGCATCTGCTGATGGCTGGAAGGTGGAGACTCCCGAGAGTCCATGTGGGAGAAGAGCCGGGTGATGCTATGTGGCTGTTAGAAGCAACAGATTATCAAGTGTACACACAGCGATGAACAGAACGCGGAGCATCTTAAAACCAACGACCCTAGTGGCACTCAAGTACATGGAAAGCATGCACGCAAAAGTGGCAACACTCACAAAACATGAGCACACGTTCTGCAAGAACACAGCCAAAGAACAAGACACATTGAACAGATTAGAATGGCTCCGTGGGAGCGCGTGGGGGCAGGAATGAGTAGGAAATGGAGCTAATAGGAAACGAACGCCGTGAAGGAAGAAAATAAGAGAAGTGTGGGGGCTTCCGGAGGCCGAGGATGCACGGAGGGGTGTCACTATGTCAGCCCTCCTTCCTCTCCTGAGGTCCAGAAAAACCCAAAGCTAACAAACCCACACCCCAAATCCATGCCTGGGTTCATGCTTGGGCAGGGCCCAGCCCATGCCTGGGTCCCCGAGTCCCAGATGAAGCCACACTGGGCAGGCGAAGGGCCAAACAAGCAGCCACCCCCAGCCTCCTCCGTCAGGCAGGAAGAGAAATGGACGAGCCAACGAAATGAACAGCATCAGCGCAGGCAGAGGTGGGACCTCCTTGGCGAGCCCAGCCCCTGGCAGGGACCAGATGGTCACCAGGCAGAAGATCCTGCTGCAGATGGCCCTGCCCTGCCCACACGGCCACCGCAGACCCTTCTCAAGGTCACATCTGGTTCCTCCCATCACACAGAGCCAAGACCTCAGGCAGATGTTATTTGCTTAATTTGTATTAAACAAACACGTACACAGCCCTCATTACATTCCACGCACGGTTCTAAACCTTACCACGGAGGAGGAAACCGAGGCCCAGAGAGGGTAAGTAACATGCCTGAGGTCACACTGATAGCTCAGGTAAGCGAGGTAGGTCAAATTAGTCACTCTGGACAGAGAAGGATGCTCAGAGCCTGTGGAACTGCCAAGCTCGCTCTCTCAACTTGTCCACTGCCTCGCCTCCTAGGAACATTCCAGAATCCTCTGGTCTTTGCCCCAGTGGAACCTCCCAAGAGCCCCCACGAGATCGATCTGTCAGGGTTCAGGGTGTGCATTTTACAGATGGGGCAAGACGAGGCTCCCGTTCCCCAGAGATTTGTCCCCCAAACCCCTCTGCCTCTAGGTAGTGGCCCGAATGGGAATGAGTCATGACCCCAGGTGCTGTCAGGGAAAGGCCGTGAAAGTGGGGTCTCTTCATTCATCCATCCTGCAAGGGTGTGTGGGGCCCGCCACTCCCTGGCCCTGGTGAGGAGGCTGGGGGGGCAGTGGGCCCACCTTTTCCCACCTGAACCTCCCTCTGACTTGCAAGGTCCTGGTCACTAGTCCCACTTTACCAAGGGGACACCTGGGGCCAGAGCAGGAGGAGGGTCACTTGCCTGAGGTCACACAGCTGGTTAGCCGCAGGGTGGGGATTCGAACGTGGGTCCCTACAAATCCAGGGGCCCCCCTCCTCCAGCTGCCGCCTACTGGCCTGTGTCCCCGTGGGCTCAGGGGACAGCAGAGCTGAAGGTGTCTGGGCAGCAGGTGAGTGCCTTCCACTTCCTCTCCGTGTCGCTGCCCAAGCACCTTTGCCAAAAGGGCGCCCTGAGGCTGCAGAGGCCTCGCTCCCTTTCCCTCCGTGTCTGTCTGTCAGTGTCTCTCCCTGCTTGCTTCCCCATCAGCCTGTGTCTCGGTCTCTCTCCCCTTGTGTGCCTCTCTTCACCCCATCTGCCTTCTCTCAGCCTCTCTCTTCCTCCTGGTCTCCTGCCCTCCCCTCTGAGAGGCTCAGCGACATCCCTCACCTGTGTGCCCGCTCGCTCCACCTCCCAACCTGCTGCTCTCCCCTGGCGGCAGACCCGGGCCCAGTGCAGGGGCTTATGGGGGCCCGTGGGCGTGGGAGCCCGGCAGGGAAACTGGAAGCTCTCCCCTCCGTGTTTGGCCTGGCTCCCGTCCCCATCTCCCACGGCCCCCACGGCCCACCCTGACAGTCGGGCTGGGCGGCCCCGGATGCCTCTCCTCCAGCCCTCTTGGCCTCCAGAAGGCTTCTATGGGCTGGGAGGCCCCTGAGAGACCATCCTGCTTTGTAGCTGGGGAAACTGAGGTCCAGAGAGCCTGAGGGAACCTTCCTGAGTCACAGAGAAGAGGGCCTTGGTCTGTCTGGTGCGTGGCATATCCCCAGAGCCTAGAACTGTGCCTGGCACCTCCCACACCTTACTCCTCACCCCTGCTCCCGACATCCTCATTGCACAGATTTGCAAATGGAGGCTCACTCAGAGAGGCAAAGTGACTAGCCCAGGCTCACACAGCCTTTTGTATCAGCCCGGGATTCGAACCAAGGACTCTCTGACACCAAAACCTTTGCTATTTCTCCTTGCCCAAGACCACAGCCTCAGCCAGCAGCTGAAACGTAATGAAGGGAACCTTCCAGGCACCACTTTCCCCCCTCACAAATGCCCCTCCTCAGCTGCACCCCTGCCTCCTCCAGGCCCGGTCAGCCAACTCTAGGTCCTGATGTCTTTGTCCACTGCCGGAGCTCCCTGGCTGGTGCCAGCCTTCAGGGCAGGGAGAAGGGGCCCCCACAGATGGCTCCCAGAGACACCTCCAGGGTTGCGATGCCTGGATCCCCAGCTCTGAGAAACCCAGGAGCCTGGAAACCACTCAGCGTCAGCAGACGTCCCAGCCGCGGGCCTGGCTGCCAGCCCCAGGACGGAATTAGCTCTGCGTGAGGAGAGAATTTCCTCCCTGGTCCCACGCCCACACCCGGGAGCGCACGCTGAGTCACCGCGGAGGGGCTGGGAGGCGCTGGCTGCCTAACAGGCTGCCCCATTTTCTTCTGGTTTGGATGGGGCCATGTTTGAGCTGACAACTCTGTGGCCGGGAACAAAAGCGAGGAGCTTATGTCCCTGGTCCTGGAGAGCTCCCTTGCTCAGAGGCCAGAGGCCCAGAGACTGCCAGCAGCTGAGGAGAGCACAGAAGCAGGAGACGCCAGATAGCCACTCCACGGCCTGGCAGCCCCCCTTGGATGCCACTCTTTCCTCCCCAGTGTGCTCAGCCCCCAAATCCACTGCCCCCTGCTCTGGGCCCTACAGCCTGACCTGCAGGACTGACATCAGTAGGCTCCATGCACTCTGACCGCTAGCTGGTTTGATCAGTGAGAGGCCCAGCGGGGTTGCAAGGCAGGAGGACAGCGAGGTCAGCTGCTCATTCTCCCAGGTCCCTCCCTGCAGCATCTCCAACAGTCGGCCACAGCCACCCTCCCTGGGTGGCAGGAGCCACTCCCTCTCCTGGCCCCTCAGCCTGGGGGCCGGAAGGTCTCCTTGCATCCTAGGTCTTTCGTCGCTGCGCCACCCTTCATACTGTCCACCGCCTTCTAAGTCCTCCCTTGCCTTCGCTTTCATCCATCACCCCGTCTGAGTGGGTCATCTGTTTCCTGCTGAGAACCTCGCTCCCTCATCCCCATGTCTGTCAAATCCTACCCATTTGTCTCCTAAACAGCTCACAAATCTGTCCTTCAGCCCTGCTCACCTGGATGCTGCCACGGGCCCCTAGCCGGCCTTTCGCTTCAACTACGATTTCATTTTCCACCGAGTAGCCAGGGACACCTTTTCAAAATGCACATGACCTCACGGCACTCCCGCTTAAAACCCATCGGCAGCTTCTCGTTGCTCTTGGAATAATATCAGCTCCTTGCCGAAGTCCCCAAGGCCTCTGTCCACCCCAGGACTGAGTTGAGGCTCACCCGGCAGTGGGTTCCGGGCCTGGGCAGGGTGTAGACACTTCCTTGCAAACCCAGCCCCGCTATCTGATTGCAAACCCAGCAGCCACTCCCAGCCTCAAAAGCCCCACAGCAAGAGCATTGGGATGGGCGCCTCTCTTCTAGGCCAAAAAGCCACTCTGACCCCCAACAATGGGTCCAATGCACAGACACCATGTGTCTTCCTGGCCACTCAGCTTGCATCCAAAGCCATTGGGCCGATAGCCTGTGGCTCTCCTCGTAAACACTGCTGCAGGCCCTGGAGGCAGCCTGTAAACAGTTTCTCCCCTGCTTCTATGCCACTGGTCTGGGAGGCCCAGCACCCCATTTGCTTAATCTCCTGAAGTCAGCCTTGAGTCCACTCACGCAAATAATCCCCGAGCTGTGTACACAGCATATCTGGAAGGCCACAGGCACTGAGGGTGTTTAGCAGAGCCGCTCAGGATGTGGTCTGAGAAGGCTGCCAGGGGTGGTTGCCCCAAGCCAGGAGCCAGCTCACAGCATGCGCCCCGTGTCCTGCTCACCGCGTGGGCCTGGAGCCTAGACTCTGAAGGGGCTCCTGGGTACCCCCCGAGAAGCCATTGTTCTAGCCCTTATCCCCCTAAATCCAGGCCAGCACAGCCCCCCTTCAGCCCTGAGGGCCAGGCTGCCTCCGATACTGCCCCAAAGCATGGCTTCTCCTCCTGGCACCTTGAGACACTGGGAGGTGGCAGCCAGAGGAAGTGCCCATCCACAGGGCCCCAACCTGCAGTGAGACCAAAAGGCAAGGAGGCTGACAACCAGGCGGCTGCTGCTGGAACCCTTGTTTTCAGCTCCCAGGCTTTGCTCGCAGCCTCCCTCTGTTGCTCTGTCAGGTGAATGAGAACCTCATCAGGCCCCTAGGGCTCAAGCAGAGCCCCAACTGGGGATATGAGCCCCAGCCGGCCATCTTGGTAATGAGCTTTGGACCCCAGAAGGTCAGGGTGAAATGTTACTAGTAATAATCACCAAAATAACGCTATTTTATTGAGCACCTACTGTGTGTGCTAGGACGTTGAGAAGTCGTCTATGTACATCATCTCACACAAACCCCAAGGGATGGTGGCCATTATTATGGCCGTGTTAGAGCTGAGGAAGCTGAGGCCCAGAGAGGTTAAGAGTTTTGCCCAAGGTCACACAGCTAGTGAGAGGCAGAGGTGGGATTCGAACCCAGGTCAAGAATCGAGTGTTCTTTCTTTTATGCCCCACTGGCTCTGCCTGGCAGACGTCCTTAGATAAATCCCTGACCCCCTGGGGCCTCAGTTTCCCCAGCTGTAAAACAAGGAGCTTGGAGCTGATGGCATCAAAGTCTCCCTTTCAGCTTTAAAACTTGCCATAATTGGGAGCCAGCCGGGTGGCATTAAGTTACATGCTCTGCTTCAGCAGCCCAGGGTTTGCAGGTTCAGGTCCCAGGTGTGGACCTACACACTGCTCATCAAGCCATGCTGTGGTGGCATCCCACATACAAAATAGAGGAAGATTGGCAATAGATGTTAGCTCAGGGCCAATCTTCCTCACCAAAAGAAGAAAAAAGAAAAAAATGCCATACTTGAGTGAGCCCAGTGTCTGTCTATTCCCAGCCTTGTGCTAATAAAAAGACAGCATGGCTCAGCTCCACGCTGTGTGACCCTGAGCAAGATGCTTTACCTCTCTGAGCCGTAGTTGACTTGCCTGCAAAATGGCGATCATAAAACCTTCCTTTCAGAAAATCAGGGGTCTGGATGAACTGATCTCTGAGGATCCCTTGCAGGTCTAAGCTGTCTGGGCTGGAGATTCAAGGTTAATTTGCCAGCCGCCCCAGTACCACCCCATGAGCAAGTCTGGGGGCATTGCTGACGGGGACCAGGTTGTCTCAGCTCCATCCTCCACTCCAAGCTGCACAGGGGCTAAGAGCCCCCACTAGGGAGTCAGCCAGACCAGGTTCAAAGGCCCTTCAGGGTTCAGTGAGCGTAGGCAAACCACCTCTGTCCTCCAAGCCTCAGTGTGCTCATCTGCAAACGGGGCAGATGTGATTACCCACCTCCTAGGGCCGTCGTGAGCATGCCATGAAATGAGGATCTGCACACAGCGCCTGGCACACAGTAGGTGCTCAGCAAACATTTGTATAGGAAAACGAGCTGGGGCCGCATCTGCGAGAACCAGCAGCATCCCTGGCCCCCCGAGGGGGAGAAAGCCAGGCTGGATCCAGTTCGCGCAGATTCTGAGCCAAAGCAAAGGCTGTGTTTCCGGAAACCACCGGAGCTCAGCGAGGAGCCGGGGTGGCGTCTGGGAGCAGAGGAGGGACAGGAGCCAGGCCGCAGCCTGCGGTCCCTCTCACCTCCCCCTCCACCCAGAAGCTGCCCCAGGGCCGGATGAGGAAGCTGCGGCCACTGTCGCCTCTACCCTCAGCTCAGCTCCTTCTCCCTTCCCCGCAGGCCCACATCCTCTGCGAGAGACTCTGCAGAGCGTTTTTCAACTTGATTAAAGCCACTTGGTTGAAACCCGGCTATTGTCCCACGTCTGCCGGCGCAGAGCATGAAGATGTAACACAGGATGGCCCTCGGGCCGCCCTCCACATCTCCCACCCTCCGATGGCCCGACCCCCTGTGAAGATGAAGAAGACAGCCCAGGCGACGCACCAAGGGCCCCAGACGATGTCAGCTCCCCCTTACTCCCATTCGACAGACGAGAAAATGAGATTCACACGAGTCCCCTGGTCCTTCCCAAAGTGACCCAGCGAGTGAGCAGCGGGTGTATTAGGAGCCCCGGGCTGGGCTGCTGGCTTCTGTCTCCTGGTTTTCCCTGGGATCACGTGATCTATCACTTAGAACTAGATTTTAACCCCAGCTCCAGCACTTGCAGGCTGTGTGACCCTGTAGAGGTTACTTCACCTCTCTGAGCCTCAGGCTCCTCACCTTTGGCATCTACCTCTGGGAGCTGTAAGGATTCAATGAGATAAGGCTGGTGAAGTGCTGGCCTGTCACCATCACCATTACTTGTTAATATGACGGGAGACGGGGGATTCATCTCACGGCAGCGAAACTGGGAAGCGCGTGTCTGCTGCTCTCTCGGCGGGGCCGTTATTTCAGGGCTCAAGGAGACCTCGGCAGGGCAGGGGCTTCTCTGGAAGCTCAGGGCCAGATGTCAGGGAGCGTGGGGCAAACGGGAGACGCCAGGAGGCTGCCGCGTGGGGTCCAGCCCCCTGCCAGGCTTCTTTCTCCTCGTGTCCCGTCTGCCATCCCCCGAGCTGCGCTGAGGCCCCAGCACCCCTGCCGAGGGCAGCTCCCTCCGGGCCCCTCGCTGGCTGCCCAGCAGCCGCCTTCACTCACTGTCCCCAGACGCCCAGCCTCCGGCCTGGGTCACTCCTGCGCGGCCCTGTCACGGGGGAAGAGAGCTCATCCTGGGCCGGCGCTCCAGGAGTGTGGCTGCGCACCCTCGCCAGGGAGAGGTCAGAGGGCAAGCCCCACGGGGGCCGTGGAGGGGCAGGCGGGCCCTTCCCAGACAGGCTGATTCAAACCTTCCGGCGGGGTCCAGAAGCTTCCCGACTTCCGACGAGCTGGCCTTGACGACGGGCCAAGGGAAAGCTCAGACGGCCAAGGATTCTTCCTCCGCTTCTCTGATCCTCCTCGCTCCCTTCCTCCATCCTTCCAAGACATGTTTATTCAACACCTAGTACCCGCCAGGCCTCACTCTGGGTCCCGGAGATGCAGCAGGAAGCAAAGACAGACGCATCGCTTCCCTGGAGGGCCCGGCATTCTCGGGGGGTCGAGGAACGGTAACAGATAAACAAATAAAGAAGTCAAGTCTCTCTGGAGCCAGACGGCCTGGGTTTGAATTTCTGCTCTGCTTCTCACCTGCTGTGTGACTCTGAGCAACTCACACACCTCTCTGTGCCTCAGTTTCCTCTGAAAAATAGAGGTGATAGTGACTCCCCCCTCACAAGGTTGTTACGAGGATTAAATGAGTTTACAATGACAATGTTTTAGAAGCATGCCCGGTTCATTGGAAGTACCTTGTAAATGCCGGAAAAATAAAATGAATGTAACGGTAGGTGGCGATATGTACTACAAATAAAATATAAAGAGGAAGGGGGCATAGAGATGGGGTGCCATTTAAGGTAGAGTGCTCAGAGACCGCCTCTCTGAGAAGGTGACCTTCCAGCAGAGACCTGAATAAAGGGAGAGGGAGACACGTGACCATCTGATCGGGGAGCACTCCAGGAAGTGACAAGAGCAAGTGCAAAGGCCCCGAGGCAGGAGCAGGTTTGGCAGCTTCAGGAAACAGCAGGGATCCGGATCTGGGCATTCAACCATCCATTCGAAGGCTGCTAGTGGGCACCTTCTAAGTGCCACACTCCTCGCTAGATACTCAGAGAGTGAAGTGGCCTGGTCTCGGCCCTCAGATAGGGGAGATGGGTGCAGGAACAGATTATGGCATGGTCAGTGCTCTGAGATGTCTCCTAAAGTCCAGACTTCCAGCAAACTGGACACACTGAGCCTGCATTACAGACAGGAGGGGGTTTTCCACAGTCCCCACCCCTCCCTATTGCCCCCTTGGTGCTGTGGCAATGAGTCAACTGCAATCCATTACAGAGTTTGCCCTGGGTGTCTGCTCTTGTAGAAATGAGAGCAATCTAGGGGGAGAAAGAAGAACCAAGTCACTCCCCCTTTCAGCCTTCGGGGCAGCCCACGTACTTCTTTGTGCAAGTGAAGAATGTCCCTCCTTGGGTCATCCATGGCTCCTGCCTGGCCCTGTTGGTTGCTGAGTCTGCAACCCTGGCTCTGTACAAAGTAAAGTGAAGGTGGCTGAGGAAATCAGGAGAAGCTTCTTGGAGGAGGTGGCATTTGAGCTGCAGAGGGAACTGCGTGCTCAGAGGCACAGAGGCGTGATAAGTATAGTTGGGGGGGGGATGTCAAGAGACGTGGCTGAGAAAAGAAGAGGGGTTCAGACTGCAAAACCCTTGCCAGGCACCGACCTCATCCTGTGGGCACTGGGGAGCCATGGATGGTTTCCAGGCAGAGGAATGTCCATCTTTCTGAAATGACCCCACTCTCTCCTGCACAGCTGATTCGGGGACTGCGTTGGAAGAGGGGAGACGGGAGCCAGGAGACCAGCGAGGGGCCTGGGAGGCTGAGTGAGGGTCCTCCCACCAGGTCCAGGTCCACTCAGCATTGGCAGTCTTCGGAGGCTGCAGGACTCAAGGGTCCCAACAGAGAGCCGGGAGGGGGTAGGGGGAGGCTGGCAATGGCCCTGTTTTCTTGAGGGATTTTCCTCAGCCCACACAGGCAGATTTGCCTCTGGAGCCGTTTCCATGACAACTTCGAATGCTCTGAGAAAGGGCTCGGGTGAGCAAATGAACGGGGACCAGAGACACCCGGATGAGGCATCCTGGGAGAAGCCAGGCTCCGGAGTGGGGCCCACAGCGGCCAGTCCCAGGGGCTGAGGCCCACCCTCCACCCGCAGAATCCCTGATGCCACAGACGAAATCTGGTTGCCATGGCAACGCTGATTCCCCATCCCTGGGCCCAGGGACCCAGGAGCTTTCGGCGCAGGGGTGGGGAGCGACAGGAGGCGACAAAGCCAAGGGACAGCCAGAGCAGCAGCTCACAGGATATGCTCATCCCGGGACGGGTGTGCGAGGCAGGTGCGTCTGCAGACCCCCAGGAGGGGAGCACGAATGCAGAGGAAGGAGCACCCCTGGGTGCTGATTTCGGATTCCAGAAAGGCGGTCCCCAGGCCTGGAATTCCACCATTAGAGTCCTACTTTTAACTCCCCCACCCAGTTAACTGCAGGAAACATAATAATGATGGTAGTAACTGCTATGGACTGATGTTCAAGTTCCCCCAAATTCATATGTGGAACCTACTCCCCACTGAGACGGTGTGAGGAGGGGGGGCCTTGGGGAAGTGCTTAGTCACGAGGGCGGGCCCTCACAAATGGGATTAGGGCTTCTCTAAGAGACCCCAGAGAGCTCCCCAGACCCACCACGTAAGGACACAGCAAGAAGACGGCATCGGCCATCTCTGAACCAGGAAGCCGGCCTTCACCAACCACCAAAACTGCCAATCTTGGATTTCCCAACCTCCAGGACTGTGAGAAATAAATTTCTGTAGTTTAAAAGCCACCCAGTTTGTGATATTTTTGTTACAGCAGCCTCAACAGACTAAAACAGTGGTGAACATTTATTGACGGTGTCCAAGGCACCAGGCACTGTTCTAAATGCTCGACGCACGTGAACTGATATAATCCGGACAGTAAAAACACAGGAGGTATCATCGTCCCCATTTTACAGACGAGGAATTTGAGGCACAGAGGGGTTAAGCAACCTGCCTGAGGCCACACAGTTAGGAAGCTGCATTTGGACTGGGCTCTGGCTCCAGGGCCGGTGCCTCACCCG